ACGTATGCAGATGGGGATTTATTATTCACAACAGTGCTGACCAGACAGATTACAGTTTCTATTTCCAAACATAAAAACAACCAGTATCAACCAAATTTACTAAAATTAAGAAACTTATTGGACAGGAATGCATACAAAGACTGAAATCGAAGTGTGCAAAGAAAGTAACTTTGAGAAGAAAATTTAAAGCGAGGAGAAAAGCATGCTACAAAAAAGAAACAGAACTGATTCATTTACATAATCACAAATCATATAAACAAGTAAATATGAAGTGTGAATTCTCGCCATCTAAACGGGCAAACTTACACACCTGTAAACGCTAAAATAACAATTACGTATATATTTTTTAGGAGGAAAATGCATAAAATAAAAGATAAAAATAGAGTACATTTGCACCATTTTCAGAGATATCAACTAGTCTCCATAATCTCGGGAACGACATCAAGAAACTTTACACCTTCCTACGTTTCTTGAACAAACAATCAGTGACGTCATGAACTCATGAAGCACCACCTTATTTAATAGCCCACTTAATTTTACAACTAGCTTCATAAAATGAAGTAAACGCTGATATAAAATGTATAACAAATGATCAAAGGGACTAAAATTGTATGGATGCATACCCTTACTAACTGACATAATTGCAATGTTTAGTACCCTAAGCCTAACTTTAAGTGTACATGTAACCAGTGCTTCAGAAACATGTACTCGTATTTAGATTTTCAATAGTAATTTTAGGTGATCTTGAACATGCAGGTACAGTTTTGAGTTTTAAAGCCGAAAATGAACGCATGGATACAATCTCATTTACAAATCATCAGCACAGCTTTCGTCTGAATGGCACAATGAAAATACAAAACGATTAAGAGATATGCACTATTAACTAATTATACTCTATAATTAACCTCGCAATAACTTCAATCAAGATGAGCTCTACTAAAAGCTATGTGATCTTTATGAAATTGAACACTAAGATGTGATTATAAGGAGTTATCTTAAGCAGCAAGTAGACTGAATAAGCCAAGACATATCATTCCTGAAAACAAATAAGGATGACTGCTTGCTGGAACTACATTTTGAAGACCTTTAATTCTTAGTAAGTACTAACTGGCCTATTACGACACCTAGTTTAACAGTGAGAAGTATTGAAGTTATTCGACCACTGTAAATATTTCAGGGGTTCCATAAACCCAGATAACTCCGCTTGAAGTCCTATAGGATTGTTGACAGTCCCCAACCCGAGTGAAAGAGTAGTTTTGGGAATAGAGTTAGAAACTCAATTACACAAAAAAGAATATCGCTGCGAAAAGGTAAGGAGAGTAAACTAAACTTATTGGACAGAAAAAAGTAATATTAGGAGTTATATTGTACTCTGGCAATGAAGAAGAAAATACAACCTCCCACATACATAAGGAGTTGTACTGAGACTGTCCAAAGTACAAAAATCTCCGACCGTAGCTGCTACCTTTACGAGGTGGCCTATTGTGATGACCCAACCGAGTTACGTTGGATGAAAATTATGTTCCTGTAGGTTTTACCATGCCAGGCAGGTCGATTGCAGAACGATGAGACTAAAAGCAGCTACTCAAGGTCTGAGGACGAAGTCGTACTGCTGACTGCAGAGAGATGTGAGACAGAAGTAAGGTGTTTCCATCGGACAACCAGCATGCTGCCTTCACACTGTGATTGGTATCGTTTGAATGAACTAAAAATGAGGTAGCTAGCAGCATTCTGCCACAATGTAGGAATGATAAGCGAAATCGCCTATAGACTATTTAGGAAAGAAAGTATATAAACTTCTCTAGGTTTTAATCTTGACATGTTATCACATTTCACAACAGAACGTAGTCTAAAAAATGGTAATATGTCCCAAAATTATCTAACCACTTTGAAATACAATAAAGCGGTGTACTTTGTGTCGAATAGGTTGGATACTAATACATACATACATACTAATACATACAAGATAAACTGGCTATTCAAAGACACATCTTTACTTGTGTATTCATTCACAGCTTGATATTAAGGTAATGTCTATTGAAGTAGAAAATACCGCACATTATAGGACAATCAAGTACCAGTATAATGCAATTAGTTATTCAAAATAAACTATAGCTTTCCAGACTATTACTACATAGTATATAAAGTCTAAAATGTAGTTATGCTATATTGGCTAGCATAATTTTCATATATTGGAATGGCCTACAATTACTGCGATTCGTGAATTATTTGAAGGTCTATCTTAATAATAAATGAGATCTGAGCTTTAGGAAGAAGCTTGATGACTATGCCCCACAATGCATAAACAATGGTAATCTCCAACGAGACTACATAGAGGTAAGAATTCAAGCAAAGCCTGGTACTTCAATTTGAAAATGTGGCAACAAAAAAGCAAACAAAGAGCAAAAGTATCTGTTGAATCTGTTAAGTGTGAATTCTAGTCACTATAACTGTTTTGAACTTTTGTCCAGTGTGACGGTTATGTCGTTTGTATTATTCTGTGTGAACTTCGTGTGTTTTGTAATAAACCTGTGTATCTTTTTTATTTATATGATGCCTACTAACTAATTAATTATGTGGAAAATCAGTTTACAAATAAGTATATCTGTTTGAACGTGTTTTGGGGAATTAATTAATTTTCATTTTTACTCAATAGTTATCGATTATAGGTAACAGAACCGCGGACATAACAGAAGTGAAACAAGCATAATAGTGGCGATGGAGTCAATTTATAAATTTCCAGTTTTCATTATATCTGTCTGGTCACAGTTAGAAATCACATAAAAATTCTCCTTACTCATTGGGGTACCTATTTTTAGTGTGATTTTACCCGTTGAAATTTTAGCAGTACGATAGTGCCATTAAACTGATAGATAGATACAGGAACAACTACTGTTACATCTAAAGAAATCAAAAGTATGGAAAAATCTATTAAGCTACTAGATAGTTCGAATAACATGTTTATATATATATATATATATATATATAAACTAAAAAAGGAATTTTCGGTTCACTCATATGTACAGAATTTACTACATAATTTTAAGGGAAAGTAAGGGTTGAAAACACATAACAATTATATAAAGTAAATGATTAAAATTATATCTTACTCTGTGATCAAAGGTTATTTTAAATTCGCGGTCCAGACGAGTCAGTAAAGCTGCCTTGCAACTAGAATACAACATTCGAGTTTTTACTGAGCTTTGATTACCAGATATTGTGTGGATAAAAACTGAAACAAAATAGTGAATATAGAATTTTCTGGAAGAGAAAAGTCATTAATAATAACTGCAATTATAAAACAGATAGGTCAGAATATCTATATGATAATATCGTACACTAATTCCACTCGAGTCTCAATAGCACTGACTGAATTATCATTTCGAAACGGTTTAGAATTTAATTATTGTCGCTTATCAATTAACAATAAGTCGTTGACTATCAGTAATTACGTTTACAACTAGATGTCCTGTTAGCTAAGTCCTAATCTAGTGACGATTGTTGATTAAAATCTACCTTATCAGCGAACGGAATCTTACGTATGATGAACGTGAATGAGGGTTTTTAATGTACATAAATAAACTAAAATGACCGGTCAGTAGGATGTTTTGTCAAGTTGTGCTTACTTGCTTCATATGCTGACAGAAATAGTAACGTAGCAGCGTTTAAATCTGTTGATTTATGTCTGACTGTATTGCAGACAGTTAGGTACCTCAGCTAATACCACTTTTAGCCTTTACTTATCAGTTCCAGCAAAACCGTACCTCAAAAAGGGTTGAAATAAGTATGGTTGGTCGACACTACAGTAAAATTATAGCCATTTAATCTATCAGGTGTTATTTCCTGATATCTCAACTTCTAGAAAGAGGATACTAATTTAAGAACATGTTTGTATCCGAAACAACTCTAAAAACTAAGATACTGTAATGAATATATAGAAAACCAGTTTTATAGATCACTGATTAGATAAGAATGAATTATGCATTTCGGGATACATCAGAGATAACAAGGTTAACGGAAATTCCTCAAGGAGTTCTAATAAAGGATTGTACACATAAAATAATAGAAAATGTAAGATAAACTTACAGGTAGCAGAACGTTGTTCACCTTCAAACACATAACGGAAGCGAAAAAGATGATAACGAGACTCTTTTTCGGGACAAAGGTTTG